GTCAGATTCTTCCTCATTTTTACACTTTGTTTGTTCGGGGGGGAGGCGGAATCAATGAGTTGGCAAAATCTTAATAAAAGAAGGTTTTTAACATTTTTCTCTATGGCAAAATGACTGGTACACTGGTTGAATTATTATTGAATTTGAACTCCACCCAAATGTCAGTAATTAAATTACATAATTTTGCCTTTTAAAATTAAAGGGAAAAATGACTTTCTCTTTCTTCTTGGAAAGACATATTGACTCTGAGGCTGTGGACCTTAGCTGAATTATAAACTACCTCATTGTATTCCAGACCAGTTAATTATGCAGCTCCCCTCATACTGTGAGTTTATATTTCACTACGTGTACAAACTCAGGAAAAAATGAGTTAAGTGCATAAACCATGGTTAACATATCCATGGAAAGGGATATAAAGTGAATCCTCTTACTCTAATACATGATTAGGGTATGGCTGGCTGGGGAATTCTGGGAGTTGAAGCCCACAAGTTTTAAAGTTAACAAGGTTGGACAATCCTATTATAATAGAAAAAATGAATGGTTGAATCACATTAAAACAACCCATGCAACATTTGCCTGAAATGTAGATGTTTACATGAAGGGAAATATACATTTTTTTCTGCAGCCAATTTTTTTTCAATTTATAGTAACAATTCTTTAAATACAATTTCCCCCAAAATAAGACCTATCCCCAAAATAAGCCCTAGCATGTTTTTATACTTGCACCTGATATAAGCACTACCTCCCAAATAACCCCTACTTTAGAACCTGTGCAGCTGCCCGGCTGCCCATTCCATCTGGTTGCTCGCGGTGCCGCATCCATGAGATCAGGCGGGGTGATGGTGAAGTGGACCCCACAGCCAGGCCATTCAAACTCCAACACCTTCCTCCTGTCGGCAGCACCGGCAACCATGTGCAACAAGAGCCCACATGGCTGCTGGCCCACTTCTGCTTGCCCACAGCCACAATGGAACAGGAGGCTGAATGATGTGTTGGTGCTGCAGTGATGAGGCAAGGCAGGGTCAGGGCATGCATGGCCTGGCTGTGGGGGTCCTGACGTAAGCTGGTGTGGGGCATGGGGCGGCTTCACCATCCCCTGCCTTGTGGTGGCATCACTAGCACACCATGCAGTTTCCTGCCCCACTGCGAGCAAGCAGAAGAAATACATGGGAAAAGAATAAGACACCTCCCAAAAATGGGGCCCACTAGAAAATAAGACCTGGTCTTATTTTCAGGGAAACAAGGGAATCTATTCATTATTTTATTAAATTTCTGGTCCCCTTTTCTTCCAAAAGTTCAGAACAGAATATAGCACTTCCTCTTTCCATTCTTACTGCAACAAAATCCCAGTGGCTATTCTGGCATAAAAGACAATAACTGGCCCCAAAGCCATCAGTAAGCTTCATGGCTCAGGAAGGACATGAACCCAGGGACCTCCTGTCCTATTCCAACACTTTAAACAAAGCTTGGTTTCCTGTAGCAGAATAGTGAAACCACAGATAAGTGATCACTTTAGAAGATATATTATTCTACTACTAATGCAAAGCTATTCAAGTGTCATCCAAGTTCTTTTACCTGGTTCTAAGTCCACCTAGCTCAGTCCAAATAGTTTGTGTGAGAGAAAGAGGGTGAAAACATCCCCTCCCTAATAGTTCTCAGAGTATGTGGTAGATACACCTAGTATAGTGCTTCAGTTGGCAAGATTCTTTTACAGGTTTGGAACAATAAAGAATTCAGCTTGGAAGAAACACCATGTGTCTTTCTTGGTCTGGGGGGCTGATATAAGGAGAAGAAATCAGATAGCTCAGTCTCATGCCATGAAGGGTTTTAAAGGTTAAAACCAGAATCTTGCATTGGATCCAGAAGCAAACTGGCAACCAATCCAGATTATGGAGCAGAGTGTGATATGTGCTGTTTTGGAAGCACACATAACTGTCTGCACCACTACTTTATGCACTAATTGGAACTTCTGGATGCTCTTCAAGGCCCTGTAAAGAGTTGCATTTTAAACTCAGCTGTAATTACAACCAGAGTAGCTGGCCATCTGTTCCATAATAAGCCACACACACACCCAAAAAACCCACAACATAATGGCTTAGATGGCCATATCATATTAGACCAAGGGTCCCCAACCACCAGGCCGCAGACTGGTACCGGTCTGTGGATCATTTTGTACCGGGCCGCAAAGAAAATAAAAATAAAATAAAAATGGCGGCTTTCTTCGCCTTCGGTGAATGCTGCTGGGATCAGGGATCAAGGACACAAATGAAAGAAGGGGAGGGAGGAAGCAACCAAAGCCTGTCCTGCTCTCTAGCTCAGCGGCTTCGGTTTCCTCCCCCCTCGTTCCTCTCTCAGTTGCTCTCTCGCTCCTCCACCACCCCAGGAAGAAACTGCTTCAAAGAAGCTGGCAGGGTGGCTTTTCCTGTCGGTGCAGCTCCTCTGAAGCGCCCGTTCACCCCCACCCCGCCACCCACGGTTCAATCCAGTGCTCCGTTCTACCTGCCTGCCTTCCTTCATTTCTGGTTGTTTTGGAGTAGCTTTGGCTGAGAATAATAACTATTTGCCTCTTTTACTCAGCTGAAGCTGCTCCGAAACAACCAGAAATGAAGGCAGGCAGAACGGAGCACTGGATTGAACCACGGGCGGCGGGGTGGGGGTGAACGGGTGCTTTGGAGGAGCTGCGCTGACAGGAAAAGCCACCCTGCCGGCTTCTTTGAAGCAGTTTCTTCCTGGGCTGGTGGAGGAGCAAGAGAGCAACTGAGAGAGGAATGAGGCAGACACCTGAGGGATAAGGCTGAGGGAGGGAGGGAAAGAGGGAGGGAGATACCTGAGGAATGAGGCTGAGGGAGGCAGGGCTGAGAGGCGGGGCTTCTCAGCCATCCTGCAGGGACTTGTCCTGAGCCACAGAGACAGCCACGGGCCGCCGCCGCGCAGCGCTCAGTTTTGAAGGCGCTCCTCAGCCTGGTGCAGTTCGTGAATCTGCAGCTGAAACCCTCCATTTTAAATGTCCCAATAGAAGAGAATATCTGTTGCTCAGGGTTGCAGTGAGGAGGCATTGGCGCTCCCTGAACTTGGTGGTTTGCTTGCAGACGTTTTATTACCCGACTAGGTAACAACATCAGATGTTATGTCTGCAAGCACACCACCAAACTCGGACTCCTCCCCCCCCCCCGCCAGTCCTTGAAAAAGTGTTTCTGCGTGAAACTGGTCCCTGGTACAAAAAAGGTTGGGGACCACTGTATTAGACTGCGTAAAATTATGGCTTAGAATAGTCCTATAGCAAAAAAAAAAAAAAAGGCAGAATAATACTTGTAAATATAAATAAAATAAAATAACACAACCTACTTCTTGGTAAACTAGAAAAAATGTGGGATAGACAGCATCACCACCAGATGGATTTGTAACTGGCTGACAAACCATACTCAATGAGTAGTCCGTGATGGTACTACATTTACATAGAAGGAAGTAAGCAGTGGGATACCACAAGGTTATGACTTAGGGCCAATACTCTTCAATATCTTCATAAATGAATGAGATGAGGGAATAGAAGGAGAACTCATGAAAGTTGCAGATATCACTAAGCTGGCAGGAATAGCCAACACCCCAGAATCCAAAAAGATCTTGCAGACTTGAACAATGGGCTCTAATGTGGAGAAAAGCAAGGTTTTACAGCTAGCCAGAAAAAAAACCAAATATGCAAGGACAGATTAGGCAAAATCTGGCTCAAAAATAGTATCTGTGAGAGGGACCTTGGAGTCCTAGTATACAATCACTTAAACGTAAATCAGTAGGTGTGGCAGCAGCCAGAAAAGCTGATACAATCCTTGGTTGTATAAATAGAGGCATAGTATCAAAATCACATGCGGTATTAGTACTGCTTTATAAAGCCTTAGTAAGGCCACACCTGGAATACTGCACCCAGTTTTGGTCACCACATTACAAAAAAGATGTTGAGACTGGAAAAAGTGCAAAGAAAAGCAACTAAGATGATTAAAGGCCTGAAGACAAAGACATATGAAGAATGGTTGCAGGAATTGGATATGAGCAGTCTAGAGAAAAGAAGGACTAGGGGTGACATGAGAGGCTGACACAAAGAGGAGGGAGTCAACTTATTTTCCAAAGCACCAGAGGGCAGGACAAGAAACAATGGAAACTAATCAAGGAGAGAAGCAACGTGGAATTAAGGAGAAACTTCCTAACAGTAAGGACAATTAACCAGTGGAACAGCTTGCCTTCAGAAGTTGCGGGTGCTTCATCACTGGAAGTTTTTAAGAAAAGACTGGACAGCCACCTGTCTGCAATGGTATAGGGACTCCTTGAGCAAGGGGTTGGATTAGAAGACCTTCAAGGTTCTATTCTGATTAACACAATAAATAGGTCAAGTTTAAGTGTTTTATAGCTGGGGCATCTGCATAGAGAGAGATTCAAAGTCAATTTGACAGCACAAATACTGACTTTTTTTTACCTCTCTATCCCCCACTTATCCCCCCCACCAATATGGACGCCTCTGGTTTACAAGCTAAAATTATGGGACAGAATGGAGCCATGCAATTAACCCTCCTGAATTTCATTTAAATATAGACTTGCATATATTTTGTGGAAGATGTTTGAAGGGAAGGAAAATGTCATAAATACAGCTCCTTAATCTTCTTGTCCTTCTGCAGAATGCTGCCTTAAATGCCATTTTCTATTGTCTTCTAAATAAGGCTACTTCCTTTGTATATATTTAGTAAGGGGAACAACCGCTCTTTATTTTTTCCCCTGATTTACTTTTAAAGATCATATGAATCACTTGTTAATGTTTGACAACATGTAATAATAGAAACTTCATAAAGTTTGGTGAATGGGTATGAGTATGACCACATTCCACTATAATGGGTAAATGTTGCGGCTCAAGGGACCTGTTGGCCCTATCACAACTAAGAACTGGTTGGACCAGATTAGGGCCGTGCCATATGATAGGTCTTCCCTTCTGACCAATCACATAGCATTGTTCTTGGGTGCCTTGGGCACTTTTAAAAAGTGACTGGGGGTGGGGGTTGGCACAGCAAATTGTTTGGGTTTCAGAGTGAAGGAAGGTGAGTAAACATATCTTAGGTTTCTAGCTTACTTGTGCTGAGTTTTGATCTAAAGTGTCCTTTTCTATTGTTAAATCTAAAAAATTTTACATATTAACATTTGACACAAATGAGATTAAAGCAAAATTTGTCTCTGGGTTGCTTCTGTTTGATCATGCTAGCAAAATAGAAAACCCTTAAATTACTTACATACCTTACAGTTTAATCTAAATGTCATGTATTGCTTTAAACTTTTTATTTTTATGTTTCTGAGAAGAAACAAGTATTATGCCAATGGTAATAACCTACCTTTCAACTATTGCTTCTTAATATAGGTGAGAAACCTTATAGAAAGCAAGTTAAAAAAATTGTAAGCCTTCTTACTGTTTTTGAGCAAACAGTTCTTTTTTATTCAGGAAAAGTTAACAGAAAGTGATGCCTGTGAGTGGAGGTTGTAGCTTTATACCTAATTTATTTTACAGACGGTTTCAGTTTTTTTCTTACTGAGTTATATGGAATGGGTTAGCTGACAAAAACACCATTTTGGACAGGTATCAGTTTGAAAAATTGATGTGTTAGGTTCTGTACATTCTTCTAAACTCTGTGAGCTATCTATAATTCTTTTGAATTGTCCCTTATTCAATCTCTGATTCTGTATTTATGCTCAGATCCAGAGCTGAATCCTTAAAGTATCTATTAAACTTGATCTTACTTGAAAGCCTTATTTAATTCAGTGAAGCTTATTCCTGAATAGGTATAGAATAATTTGCAAGTGAGCAAAATGTTTTGCATCACAAACTAGCCCTCCATATAAATCTATCTGTATGCTGCTAAAAATGTCTATTTGTAATCTTCAATTGGGTGAAATGGTGCATCATAGGGGAACAATTTTTGAACCAAAGTACCTCAAATGGGCTAACCTGAAGATGTATCCTAAGTTTGGAGCCTCTTACTCTTATGGAATTGAAATTTCAACAATCTTCATATCAGTTGTATTGGTCAAGTTATGGACAGTGCACCACTGCTGTGATCAACCATGACATTTGATCATGATTTCTGATGCTCCCTGCCAGCTTCCCACCAGCAAAGTCAATGGATAAGCTGGCAGGAAGTCAAAAGTTGCTTCTGCTCCTTTTTCGCCTGCCCATGGTCATTCTGTTTATCAGTTTAGGAAATATCAGTGAAATCATGATCCAGTGGGTCATAGGTTGTACAGTTTTTTTTTAAAGTGTGATTTAACAGTCACAAGTCTCTTCTTGTCTAGAGACTTAATTATAGCATAGCATAGGATAGTTAGTATAACTTACAATTATTATTGTTTTGTAAATTTTATTTGAGTTTTCACAAAAAGAAAAGAAACACAATTAAAACATCTTTTTTGAAAGCAGCATAATCCCAGGTTACATTTCTTCATGCAGGCACAATTTCAGGTTCATGCTCATTTTTATATTCTATTCCATATCTTATTACAATTTTACATTTTCTACATAGCTTCTCCCCTCTTTTAATTTCCTCAATTTTATTGTATTTATTTCATCTCAATTCAAATCATTATATTTATATTTTTTGTCTGTCCTGTTTCAATTGTCTATCATCTTTTCTCATTAAAACAAAATTTCTCCTGTAGTTACTGATTGGAGTATGACGCCTTTATATCTTTCCCCTAAAGTTATAACACTCAATATAATACATAGCTTCCATTCGGATTCTGTTTGGTACATTCTTAAACTACACACAGTATTCTTTTTTTTAAAAAGGAAAAATTATAAAGGTATATAATTAAAACAACATTCCATTCCAATTCAATTCTATCATTAATATTATATTCATTAAAGTCTTAAGATTTTTCACATTACTTTTCAATTAAATATCATACCTCTATGGGAACAATTATTAGCTTTCCATACTCAGTTCCCCCCTCTTCACTTATATTTTATAAAACATTGACTAATTAAAGTGTTCCCATTCCTTCCTAATTCAATTTTCTCATTTATTTTATTTCATTTACTTTATTCACAAACATTTCACTAAGTTACACTAATCATTCTATCCCTCATTCTAATCATATGTTGTTTCCAATTTTCTAAAGTTATTTCTATTTCAAATATAACAACACAATCTCATGTACCTTTACAGAATCCCCCTTTCAGTTAAATTTTCACCCATTATCTCTAAATAGGTCCTATTTCTTTATATCTTGCTCCGGACCTTTGTAACTTCTTTTCCTTTCCTTCTTCCCTATCTTCTTCTCCCTCCCCTTTTTACCCCTTTGTCTCTCTACCTCTACTTACCTCTTCTGTATTCCCCTTTTCTGTTGTTTTCCAGTGTTATACTTATTTTTCGAATTATTTTTCTTTTCTTTGGTTGTTTTTTTAAATCTTAAATTCTCCATCTTCTTTCCCCCTTTTCCTTTTTCTTCCCCACATAGAGTTACTTGTTCATTAAAGATGGCTTCTTCTTTGTCCCAGTCTTCTTGTTTTGCAGTCTTTTCTTGTTGTTTCTCATAGTTCCAAATCTCCATTTCTAAAAATTGAAAAATGAAGCCAAAGGAACCCCTCCCTTCTTGTGCATCTTCTTTGTACTTTTTAAGTTCCATTTCAATTCATCAAAAAGTGATGCCATTGTAAAAAATTTTAAACAGCTACCCGATTGATTTTAGTCATTCAAATATAATAGCCAAAAATCTAAAAGTCATCAAGTAATCCAAATACACACAAACTGTTTCTTTTTGCTCTTTCTTTTTTTTTCCCACTTTCTCTTCCTGGGGTTACTATTTAGTTGCAAAGTTTCAGTTAAAATGTATCTTTTAGAAGTCTTATTGAAATTTTACTTTAGATTCTTTTAAAGTCCAGGCAGTCTCCTCTTCCAGATCCTGCCCTTATTCTTTTTCTCTCCCTTCCTGATTATAGAAGAAAAAGTTTTTAATGTCTAGAAATCTTTATTGTCCCTTTGGCATTTGGTTATATTTTCAGCTTAATTGCCTATTGATGCCAAAGTGGATTTTTCCCATTTCTTATTCTTAATTGTCAATATAAGGAAGGAGAGAGAGAAAAAAAGAGGCAAACCTTTCCCCTTTCACTTTCTTTTGCTGCTTCCAACTCTTCTTTGGGAGCAATGTTATTTCTTGTAAAATTTAAATTCCAGGGTACCTTAGTTGTTGCTTTTTCAACTTAGCCCAGTCAGCCAAAACTTTCACTTCTTATCTTCCTCTTGCACATTCTTTTCCGGTTGAGTACTTGTTTGAGATGGCCATTTCTGACCACTGCTCCTACTGCCTTCGGGAAAGGGAGTTTGACCAGCTGAGGAGGAGAGATGCGGCTCTCCTTGACCCTGCTGGCAGTCTCCCCCTTCTTCACCACCTCTACAGGGTGGCTTAGCCCCGAAACCAGCCGGCTCAGGCCGCTCCAGCGGTGAGCCCAGGCAGAAACCACGCACGATCACGGATTCCTGTCTGTCACTGAAGCCCTTCAAACTGGAAGTCCCCTGTTTGTATAACTTACAATTAACAGTTGGGCAAAGACAATTTAAGCCAAAATTTCTTCAGCTATTAAAAATCTCAATGTAAGATAGGATTGAAAACATTCCCAGTTATACTTGCAAATATTAAGATTTCATGTATTTATCAACTCTTTTTTAAAGTGCCTTTTTTTTCTTCGAGACACTGAGCTGGATCTTGGCTTTGTTCAATTCATGATTATGGTCAGTAATTTGCATAATTCTACAAATAAAATATAACTGATAACAAAGAATGTTCAGTTAAAAATAAAAAAACACCTAAAGGAAAAAGGATACTGTGTCAACGAATGTTTTTAATATATTTGCTTTTATGTAAATTCATTAAAACCTAATGATGGTTTTATCCGGATACAATCCAGATTTTTCAATGCAACTTACTCCTTTAATATGTAAGAACAATGAACAGTGTGATGGCCTAGTAGTGGAGACGCTTGCCTCCCACTTGGGAGGTTGAGAATTCAATCCTAGGTAGTGGCAGATGTTTCTCTCCTGGGGGAGAGAGAGAAAGAAAGAGAGAGAGCACTCTTATTCCATGTGGTGTCAAGAAGGGCATCTGGCTGGTAAATGATCAGCTCCACCCAATTGCCCCAATTCTACTCCAAATTAAGGGATTACAGGATCGTAAAAAGAGAGTTAGGTAAATTCATTGAAATCTAATGATTTTATCTGGATACAATCCAGATTTTCCAATGCACCTCACTCCTTTAATATAATGATAATGTGATCATTATCTTAAATTTGTCATAAATTACCATTTGCAGTCCATGACAAAAAACCCAAAACAGTTCCTGGCAGATCAGATGACATCTTAAGACTATGTTGTCAATAATGTTAATGCTATATAATAACCATGTTTGTCAGTGTGATTGACATTTTTTTTGTACAAAGAACAAAATAAAAAGTCAAATTCCTTTTTGTTCTGTAAAAAGCTGTAATACTAACAAATTCAATGAAAGGAATTTGTAACAAATTCAGTGAAAGGAATTTTTTTTTAAAGATGCTAAATATGCTTTGAATACCATTTCATCAAACAGTGTAGATGTGACTGATAATTTTGTGTGTTTGAAATGTCATCGGTGAAACCTTTCCCAATGTGATAGTCCCCAGATATCTGTGGGAAGTCACAGTTCTCAGACTGTCAGTCAGCCATTGACCATGTTCAGGGGGAATCATGAGAGTTTCTAACGTATTTCTTTATTTGTATATTAAAATTTAAAAAAACACTATACTTATCCATAACTGTAGTGTACCAAGTTTGGTAAGCTTATGAAGCTTTAGGACAAAGCATTTTCCACTACAAGATGACAAATAAGTAAAAAACAGTATAGTTTCAATGGAAAAACAGAGGTTTGTTTCTAATGGAATGAATTAGATTTAGGGCATGTCACTACAGATCTGTGTAATGTCAGTGCGGGATTTGAGAATACCTTGCCAGTCCAGAGAATTTGTATTTGTTTGACTATGCTTGGGTGCTTCTCAATTGGGGAATTGTTCTAGCATCTGGT